GAGTGTCCAGATCTGTGGTCAGGCTGACAGCTGGCGTACCTTCATCTCTCTGATTGAGGCCTCCGTTTCCACGGAGAACGAGGTGTCACAGCTTCCTCTGCGTGACGAGGCTCCGCCCAGCGAGGCCAGAGTGGCGGCGGACAATGTGGACGCCGTCCTGGAACCCTGAGGGAGAGCGAGAGAGAGAGAGGCGCTGAGGACCGCCTCTATCCTGTCTGACCAGCCCAAGGGTCAGTGACCTCACCTTGTCAGTGAACTCCCGGTCCGTCCTCTCCTCCACCTGCACACACACAGAACCTGATCAGTAACCAACCAATCAAATCAATTAATCAGCTTCATCAGCTGCAACTCCCCAGACAGCCAGCAGAGGGAGCCAGAGGGCGTTAACTCTCTCACCACAGGGCTGGCCCGGGCAGAGCTGGCCCTGGAGGAGGCCCGAGAGCTGGAGGCCAGGAGGCCGCCGTAGTCCGAGGGCTGGAGGAGGAGAGGGGGCAGGCAGGACGAGAGACAAGGAGAGGAAACAAGAAAAGGGAAAGAAATGAAGAATGTGTTAGTGAAGAGGAAAGATGAAGATTATCAGAGCTACAGGGCGATGTTAGAACCAGTTCAGACCAGTTCATACCGGTTCAGACTGGTTCAAACAGCTTTAAACTGGTTCAGTTCTTGCCACTAACAAAACAGGACAAGAAAAAACTAGTTCAGACCGGTTCTGACTAATCTAGACCGGCTCCTTCTCTCAGGCTGCATTCAGAGGAACCGGGCTGGACTCTGGTCCACTGGACCCGGACCTCCAGCTGGTTTCTGGTCCACTCACCCTGTAGCTGCCCCGGCTGCCCACAGACATTCTCTCCTCATCATCAGAGATCTACAGACAGACAATTACAGGATCACTGTAGCGGAGAGCAAACATAGAAGAAGAAGAAGGAGAAGAAGAAGAAATACAGACCGAGGTGTGTCTCCGAGAGAGACGAGAGTAACGCTCGCTGTCCTCCTGAAAGGCCATGAAGAAGAAACGTGTTAAAGTAGGAGAAGAAGAAGGAGTCTGCAGAAGGTTCACCTGACAGACAATGAGCAGGGCAAACAGCCTGACAGACAACGAGCAGGGGAAATAAAAATGAACTAAAATCAAAGTTACTGTTATAAACAATATTCAAACTGGATGAAAATAAATTAATAAAATTCGAACATCAACTAGAAACACTAATAATATATATTTTGAAATGGAATAAATAAAAAGCAGCAGACATGAATAAAATAACTCAATGATTAAGTGCAGCAGAGCGGAGCATGCAGAGCCCGGATCAGAACCTGGATCAGAACCAGGATCAGAACCTGGATCAGAACCCTACTGAGCGCGTGCAGAACAGACAACAACAACATGCAGCTCTCGGTAGGCGGCCCGGTTCCACCAGAACCAGGAGAACCGGGACCAACTGGACAGAAGCGGTCCTACCATCCACTGCTCGATGTGACCCCACTTGTTATCCAGACCATAATACTTCTGAGGAGACCAGACCAGAGGGTTAGAGGCAGCTGGGAGAACTGGGAGAACTGGGAGAACTGGACCTACCTTAGTGCTGTGAAACAGCTGCACCAGATGGAGAGGAAGAGGAGGGAGAGGAAGAAACAAGAGGAGGAGGTCAGGCTGGTTCCACTGGATCGGAGCTTTAAAAGTTCTGGATTTAAACTTTTTATCAGTTTTGATGATTTTTGTTTCTTTAATTTCCTGATTTTTTTCTGTTTTTAAGCAGATTTTTCTGTTTTGGATGGTTTGGAAAACCATTTCATTCAAAATTAGATCAATGAATAAGTACTGTTGTTATTGAATAATTAATAAACGCTCCATCTAATAAATAAATATCAACATTCATATCCAATTTGTTGGTTTTCTTTGATCAAAATCAAATTTATCAACTTTTAAAATAATTTCTGGTTAATTTTTCCAAAACAGTAGAAAAAAAAATCAATAAACAGTGAATTTCTTTTTATCCAAATGATATATGTTATTTTTCTGCTGCTTTCAAATTATTTCATTCTGTCTCTCTGCGTTTTCCTTAAATGGTTTTTTTATTAATATTTGATGATTTAATATTTTTCCTTTCTCTCTATTTTTACCTGATTTGTTCCTTTATGTTTTCTCGCAAGTTTTGCTGTAACTTTTCTTTATTTAAGTCTAAAATCAGATTTTTTTCCTTTCCTCTCAGATTATTTTGGATTATTTCCTGCAGTTTTTCTCTTATCTTCAGATTATTTCCCAGGATTCCTGTAGGTTTCCCAGGTTCTGATCCGGATTCTGTTCCTGTACAAAGTTCTTGTTAATCTGGAGGTAATCTCCTTTGTCTCCATGGTAACCAGAGGGACTGGACCCAGACCCTCCAGAGCCTCCAGAACCTGTTTGGTTTCATCATAAACTTTAAAGTTTTATTGAGACTCACCGCAGCAGCTGATCCTGATCCTCTCAGCCTGACCTTTGACCTGCTACCACATGACCCCATCAGCTGCTCTGACCCGTCCTGACAGACTGATCTGTGATCCAATCAGCTGTCGGATCAATAACCCCGACCGGAGCAGATTTCAGAATAAGAGCTCACCTCCTTCTGCTGCCTCTCCAGCTCCTTCATCCGGATCTCGCGGGCCTCGGCTCTGGCGGCCCGCTTCGCCGCCAGCCGGGCCTCAGCCTGCGGGACACACACTCATCCATCAGCAGATATCACCAATCATCAATAATCGATCAAACATCACACTGAAAACAGAAAGAAACTGTTTTCACAAAGGCTGGGTGTGATTACCGCGGCGGCCAGCAGGGGGAGACAGAGCAGCTCCATATTTAAACGTTTTTACACCAAATAAACATTATTTAAATGAATAAATTAACTTTAAACTGAAACGTTTCGTTTGTAAATATATTATTTCTTTTAATTCCTGGTGAATTTTATTTATAATGATTTTTGACTCTAGTTTATGTAAAATCTGTTAATTTAACGTTTCCAGTCCTGTGATGAAGATGAAGATGATGATGATGCTGTCTGAGCTGTGGATTATTACTGGAGCTCCACCGGATTACAGCAAGCAGGTCAGACAGTCCCAGTAACAAACCAGTCTGCTGTGGCCGCTCCCAGTAGGTCAGTGGGAGGAGGAGGAGACCCCCGTTAAAGGCTGGTTCTGACTGGATCTGGGTCAGAGACCAGAACCAGCCTGAGGACGGAGAGAACCAGACGGTACCAGCAGGAGGCCGTCAACACAGTCATTACCAATCAGCCTCATTGATACCCAGTTATACCAATAATCAGCTTTATGGAGCCGATGGTGGAGGCCTGAGAGGCTGGACCAACTGGTCATCTACTGGTTCCAGTTTTTGGTTAGACCAACCAGCTGGACCCAACTGGTTGGACCCAAATGGTTAGACCAACCTGTTGGACCAACTGACTGGATCTGGTTGGTCCACAGATCCCTTAAAAGTCGTCCAGGTACCACTGACTGTAGGGAGGATGAGACTCCTGGTGGTTCTGGTTCTGGTTCTGACCCTCATGGTCCGTCAATAGACAGGTGACAATTTAATGGATCCAACAGCATCACCTGATGTTCCTCATAAATAACAATAATTATCATGTTAGAGTTTAACTTTGATTCTAAATCATGTTAAATCGTTAGTCACATCTGATCTTATCAATCAGCCTGATTATTATTGATTATCTATTTTATCATTGATCATTCTGTTCATTATTAATCAGCCTGATTATTTCTGATCATTCTGATAATCACCACTCAGCCCATCATGTTTATTGATGATGATGAAGATGATGATGGTGTTTACCTCTCGCGCTATCTGGCTCAGCGCATCCTCCTCCGCAGCCAGCTTGTCCCGGTTCGGAATCCTCTTCCGGCCCGGGCCCTGGGTCCCCATGGTTCCGGATGGCTCTACCTGCAGCCGAGCTCTCCTCAGGTTCGGGGCATGCGGTTCCGGAGGTGCAGCAGTAGGACGGCCCTGTTCCAGTGTTAAACCCGTTGGTTCGGTCACCTTGTCCCGGTTCCGAGTCCTGATGGACCCATCCCTTAGATCTTTACCTGCAGCCGAAATGTCACCTCGGTTCTGATTTTGTCCGGATCACTCAGACCTGTGACCCGGACTCTCCAGAACCCATGATTATCCCGTTTCCTTGTAAAATTATAGGTTCTGTTAGTGCGGTTCGGTGCTGATGGGTCCGTTCTGCCGCTGCAGATGGCGGTTAGCAGCTCCCAGTCAGACCACCGAACCGGACCAGCGTCAGGGTGAGAATCAGAGTCCGGGTTGCTCAGCGGCCCGTCGGCCCGCTAATCCGCCCCCCCGTTCGGGCCGCTGCGGCGGAGCTCCGGCAGCCGAGGGCAGAGCGCCGTGCCGCGGTCAGGTGAGCCGCAGGTGAGCCGCTGCTGCACCGAGAGCGAAGCCCGGAGACACGGATCCACTGCGGAGGAGAGGCGCGGCGCCGCTCCGTCACCGCTACGCAGCTAGCGCGGAGCTCCGGCGCGGCGGAAGTAATCCTACAAATTAAGAGCCCGTAACCCGCGACGATGAGAAAATGAAAACGTAACCACCGGAAACGGAACCAGGGTATTAAAAGGTCATTTTTTCCGACCAAGTGAGGTCTAAAATATTAAAATTGGACGGCGTGTTAGGGCCATTACAGATAGTAAAAAAAACAAAAAAAAACAATTTCAGTCAAAAAAAATTCAACAATTTTTAGATTCATCTCAGACATTTTCTATAAAAAAATTAGCAAATTTCTGAAAATATCTGAAAAGTCGAAAATTAATCACAAATGTCTGAAGTTTTCTTTTTCAACATTTCAGCTCAGATATACTCAAGTTTTCCCCCCAGAAAATTGGTCCAGTCCAGCAGGTATTCTGACAAACTCCCCTGGTGGTATGCTGTCACGGGCGACCACATCCCTTCCCTCCCATCATAACCAGTCAGCAGCAGAAGAGAGAAGCAGCATGTTTACAATCATGAGGACAATAAGTGCTGAGTTGTTTGTGTTGTTTATTGAACAGAAGCTAAACACATCATCATCATCATCATCAGTTCTTCAGAGAGGGCAGAGGGAACAGTAATCAGGTGTGGCTGGTCAAATTGAACCACAAATATCTGACTAAAAAATTTATTTTAATGATTTCACAAGACTTTGTAATTACTTTTCCACTCAGAGTCAATTGATCTGGACAGAGTAAGTGAAATCATGATTTAAAATCAGACTTTATGTTTTAAAAGTACAAGAAATCTATGAGGGGCTGAGATACTCTTCACAGCTATGTGCCCATTTTAATGTCAAAGAATCTTGTAGAACTCAGAACCAAACTCCATCTGAAGGTTCTGGTCTCTGAAGCTCAGCAGAAATACTTCGATGTTCCTCTGATTTGTTGTGTGTCCCGGTTCCGGTCTGTGAACATTGATGAAGGAGGCTGAAGTGCAGGAGGAAGAGGAGTGACCGACATCAGGCTGAGACCGGGCCTGGTTCAGAACATATTGCTGGATCTCCAAGGAGCGCCGTTACTCTCTGCCAACAACAACGACAAGTTAGAGCAGATCAGCGCCTTTCAGATGGATCAATAACCAGCAGTGGGCAAATATCTGCTAATGCGCTACCGTGATAAAAGCAGAGCTAAATTATTGCTTAGCATTTTAAGGTTAGCTTCCACTAATTGCCATGTTGGTTAGTACTTTAGTATTGCGTTTTAGGGTGAGCATAGGTAACTTTGCTATAACCAATAAGTTGAAGAAGTTCTCACTGGGCAGGTCTGAAGCAGTCCGTTTCTTCTGATGGGATCCAAAAACCTGCAGAGTTTCATCAGAACAGAACCTTTTGATTAGAACAACATCGTCTGCGTAGAACATGAGCTAATTAACAAACTTTAACAGTTTGGTGTCAAGAATCGACATGGACACATGAAGAAGGACACTTTCATCTGTTGACTGAATGTGGCTCAGCTTAACCAGAGGATTAAGCTCAGCCACATTCAGTTCAGCCCGTTCATTAAACCGGGTCTAACCCGGACCAAGAAACGTCTACAAGTCAGATGAAGAAGGACAGCTTCTGATCTCAAACTGACCTTCTTCTTGGCGCTCAGAGCTGCGATTTTACTTTCAATGTCCGACACCTGGAGGGCAAACAGACACATAGTGAAGGACCAGAAACCAACAACCAAATGTCAAAGCTGAGATTTTATGGATAAACAAAGATGGCAGACCCCAACTAACCTCGCTCTCGGCGCTCTGTACTCTGGCAGCAGTCAGCGCCACCACATCCTCCAACTCCGACAGCTCAGAGTCCGTCGTCCCTCCAAAACGGTTCTTGGCGCTTTGCTCGAGTCGCCGCAGCTTAGACTCCAGCTCATATGACTGGCCGGCCGTGATGTACACCTGGACAGGTAGGAGGACAGACACAGACTGGTCACCGGACAGGAAGCTGATGGTGATTATGATGAAGCCGACAGAGGTGAAGGTCAAGGGAACACACTGAATTCCTGCTAGGTTCCTCTTTAGGTTCCAGAAGTCTTCTGCTTCAGTCTACATTTTCCAACATAGAGGAACCGTTGGAGTGAGTTCTAGTCATGATTGGTGCTGGTGAGGAGCTTGATGGAACCGGACCCTAACTGGACCCAGTGTGTTTCCCTGTTTAACTGGAAACACAGCAGCCAGTGGAGGGTTAAAGCCAGTCCGGACATTAGGTCATGCTTCAGAGGAGGCATTGGGGGCTGAACTTAGTGTAGAGAGGAGGGGTGAATCATGCAGGTCACATTGGAAGCTTACATTTTCCTCAAGTTCCCTGAAAGCATCATCAGCCTGCTTTACGTCAGGGCCAACTAAGGGGGACCTGTCGATCGGCTCTGCAAGGCCGTACTCGACCATTGCGTTTTCTGTGGCGTTAATGGTTCTCAAGACCTCAGTGGTGAGGTCACAGAGGGCGGCGGCAGTGGATCTCTGAAAGCCATGTAGAGGGACAGATGTTAGCAGCTGGAAAACAACATCTGCAGCAGCTACCGGACTGGACACTCCCAGATCCTGGGGTTGGGGTCTGGACGACTTCTCCAACTGAAACTCAGGTACATCCTGGTGCATCTACTGGGGTGCCCACCACCCTCTAGACAGATTACGATACACACATGAACAACGCACTTGTTCAGTCATCCTTCCTTAGACCTAACCTACAGTGAAGGAATCGTATCATTAGCCCTTAAATTTTCCAAGCTAGAGGACATAGCTTAGGTCCAAGTGAAGGTGATTTCAGCGTTCATCCATCCCTGGGGTCCAGGCAGGTAGCTGCTTCACATTTACACAACCTGACAGGAGTATGGTGAGGCAGGAGGCGGGCTGTTAGTGAGGAGGTCGTCATGCACCGAGATTAGAGATGCTTAATGCCAAATCTTTGACCTTTCTTCTGAGCTTCATGCTGAGCTCTCTAACAGGAAGTTCTTTGTCCATGAGCTGGTCTGGACTTTGTTCTGGTGGAATGACACCTTCAGCGGTGAAAGTTGAGCCATGCAAATGCCTTCACAAACAGGAACCTGGATGTTCAGCAGCAGCAGTACTTGGTTCAAAGCAAAGCTCTGGGCAGGATGTTGGTCTCCAGGTTCCTGTTTGCTGCTACTCTCTGAGTCACTGTCGTACCTTTTGAGCCTCTGTTGGCATCTCATCGCTGGATGAGCTCAGCTCCTTGTCCTTTAGGGAGTCCAGAGGGACCACCGGTCCTCCCCTGATGCCAGAAGACCCTTTAATCCCAGGGAAAGGCTTTTTCCCAGCCTCATCATCTGACGACAGGCCTTTATCGCTCAGGTTTCCTGCCAGCTCACTCAGCTTCCTCCTCAGTTTCTCCTCCTCATTTGGAGCTGATGAAGTCAAGGCCTGTTGGAAGGAGCAACTTTACTGGATTTGAGACTAAAGTGACTGATGAGTTCATCATCCTCTCCATGTGATTCAAGGATTTAAGGTTGTGTCCTGTCTTACGTCATCAGCAGGAGTCATCTTCTCCTCCAGACGGCTCAGCAGGCTCTCAATGGCGAACATCCGCTTGTTCAGTTCGTTGATCTGAAAAATGAATCCAGACAGAAAATGTTAAGGTCAGTTCTTTCTCCTTCCAGACTCGGTTCTGAATGTCTGTATGTCCTTACAGGCGGGGCTTGGCCCAGGTTCTCCTGGGAAGAGGCTCGGCTGTTCTTCCTGCGGTGGTGGGGTTGCTGGTGAGCGGGGGGATACCTCTGGTACTCTTCCTCATCTGAGGTGTCGACATACTGCTGCCTAGCCACCGAGGAGCTGATCTTCGACAGAGAGCGGGTCCGCACCATCCGGTTGTCTGCATAGTCATCTGATGATGCAGTGATATGGAGAAATAAATGCACATCAAGGGGAGGACAGGTCTTTTTGATTTGATCTTTCTGATTCAAAAGACATCCTCAACTTCTCCTGGTCCAGACTTTCTTTTCCCCTGCAACTAAAAACTCATCGAGGGGATTTCAGGTTTCTATCCTTCAGACAAGTCCTAAGTTGCTACTTAGGACTCGTCTGAATATCTCCTCCTAGTGGAACATAGATGGCTCCCTGAGGTATCTTTACCGTCAATCCCAATGGCCTCAGCTGATACAGCAAGGACTCTACTCTGAACTCCTGAATTGCTAACCTAACCCTGGAGCAAAAGCTACACAATGAAATCCCAACCGTCCAGCAGACAGTGTACTCAGACAGAATATATATAGTATGCTCTAGTATGTGGGATCCTTAAGAACATGTGCCATGTTGGCATGCTGACCCGGTCTCATGGCGTGACGGTCCAGACTCTTTCTGCGGTTCCCTCGGTGAGTGTAGTAGTCGTAGTCCCCGTCGTTCCGGTAATACCGATCGTCCTGCATCTGCTTTCAAACAGCGTCATTAAACACGTGTCTTCCTCAGAACCAGGCCTCATCTGCGGTCTTCATCAGCCGGGGCTTTACCTGCTCAGAAGGCCGCCGTGAACGAGGAAGGTAGTCCTCCGAGTCAAAGTCCATGGGATGAACCGACAGCAGACGTTTATTCTTCCTCATCTAGGTGGGAAACAGCTGCTCAGTTACTCCTGCTCTGATTGAACCCACAAAGCCCCTTGGTGTTCTTGCTTACCACTTTGTAGCGCTGAGCCTCGCCCTCTCCAGGATCATCCTCGGTGCCGTTGTATCCATCTAAAAGGAAACAGCGAGCTGACTTGGACTATGCCATAGAGAATCACATGCTGGACCTCTGGACCTGCAGGAAGTTCTGAAAAACTGGACTGGCTTGTGGAGAGACTTACGTCTATGGACATCCGGCATGCTCTGGGTGTCGTCATCACGACCACCTGAACCAGAACACAAGCAGGATCAGAACAACTGGACCAAGATCCAGAAACGTCACCGCGAGACTCACCGTCTCCGTTCAGGCGCTTGTAGAGAGACCGCATCACCTTGGCACTGCCGAAGCGTTTGAAGCGGTTCCTCACATTGTCATGGTACCAGCCCAGAGTCCCCATCTTCAGCACCCTGAAGCACACAAGGAACAGAACTGAACCACCCAAAGGCCCAGTCTGTAGAATCGGCAATGGGTCCAGGACCAACGGTCCGGTTCTGATCCACAACACATTAAGTCAGAACTGAGAGCAGATCGATTCAATACAGAGAATTACAGCAGACCTGAGAGACACCTGCATTACTGCAGCATCCAACCATCCATCCGTCCGTCCATACCCGTCTCCAGATGGACTGTATATGTCTGTTATTGACCTTTCTATGACCTGTCGTCCCCCTGCCCCTCTCTGTCTCACCTGGTCATGCGGCAGTTGTCACACACCCAGCCGTGCTCCTTCTTGTTGTAGCGGCTGCAGGACTTGCAGGTGAACATGCGGCAGTCCAGGCACTGCCTCTTGCTGTTGACCAGGAACTTGAAGGGCTGCAGGCAGCGGATGCAGAGCGAGTCGGAGACGTTCCTCTCCGAGCCCAGCAGCTCCCGCTTCGTGTCCTCCTTGTCGATGCGCGTCTTCAGCTCGCTGCAGGCAGGAAGGACAGGAACCACCGTGAAACGCACAGCACAGCGCTCCACTTCCTCTGCTGCTGTTTGAGCTTCACCCAGTTCAAACTCACTAAAGGAAAGCAATATTATTGAAATAAAATACTTTATTTATTAGCTTGTTTTTATCTGCCAATTATTTTAATCAATTAATCATCAGAATAATCGATTTCTAAAACATATCTTATCTGAATGTTTTGGCCTGACATTCAGAGGAGTGAGTTTCCTCCGTTTCCTGCAAAAATAAAAAAATAAACAGATAAAATCTGATAACTTGTTTAATTTTAATAGTTTGGGGGCCAGATGGGGGTTCTTGCCCAGGGCAGCAGGCCCATTAGAGCCGCCCCTGGGCCCAGTTCTGCTGCTCTAACGGCTCAGCCTGCTGCTACTGCTGATCAGCTGTTAACCTCCTGATCCATGGCTCTGCTGCAGCAGGGTCTGATTTCCACAGTGGAAATGTGATTTGAGCCGCAGAGCCGTTCCGCTCTCTCTTCCCCCCGGGGCTGATGGGAGTTGGAGTCTTCAGCGGAAACAGAGCATCTTTGTGATTCCAGAGCGTGTGACGGTGGCGTGATCGGCTGCAGCAACAACAGCATCTTTCACGCTCACATTCCTGCTGGCATCACATGAGCCGGGATGTGAACAGAACAGAACCTCCACCTGGACCTACGTCAGCCTCTCCTCCTCCTTCTTGCGCAGGTTGAAGTCGCGCTGGATCACCTCCCACACATGTTTGGCCTCTTCGTCCGTCAGACGGGAAAGATCCAGCTTCCGCTCCATGTTCCTGGAACAGAACCAAACATTACGGCCTGACTGCAGGAGTTCCTCAGGGTCCAGCTGTGGGAACCCATCTGGAGTAAACACATGAAACTGTAAACTCCCAATAATCTGGGTAAAAATACATATTATTTTTTATGAGAAACATAACATTAAAAAATATCACTTCAGCTGCCTTTAATTAACAAGAGAAAAAAAAGTGAACCTATTGTAAAAGAAAGCTTTATATTATTTATAAAACATGAACAGAAATCTCCTCTTCATGGAATAGAATCAAAAATTTTCATTTATATTTAAGGAAAATATATGAATAAACAACTTTGGTTTCATCCTGATGCAGTACTTAAAGATATCTACAAATAAGCAAAAAATGTTTAAAGTACATTTTTTAAAAATATAATCTAATAAAACAACATATTTATCTTCAGACACTTTAAAAAGCATAACTCATGGATCCTGTGGTTTTGGAGCCGCTGTGGCCTTTATGCTCATAACGACGGTCCGAACTGTCCCCAGATCAGCTGCAGTTAAATCAAATTCAACAAAACAAACAAACTGAGAAGATATTAGATCAAATCTAATAATCTATAATCAATAAAGTGGATTAAAGATGATAAAAACTCACCGTGTGTCTGTGTGAGTCGGTCTGCTGCTGCTGACTGAAGAAATGAGACGGGAAAACCCCGAGAGCATCAGCTTATCACATGAGCAACACACTGAGGCAGAGCCAGCGTTTCATAAGGAGAGGAAGTGACATCACCGAGGAAAACAGCCTGGACACACCTGGAGACAAAGGGACACACCTGGAGACAGGAGGACACACCTCGATCTGATTAGCTGCTGTGGTGAGGACGTCATGATCCTTCTCCAAAACATGTTAGAGTTTTTAAAGTTAAATATTTAGCTACAGATAATAAAGAAAACATCAGAATACATTATTTAAAAGAGCAGTTTTGAGAAAGAAAGTTATAAATGCGTTGTTCTGGTGAAGCTCATTTTTCCCACGGTCCCTGAACATGACGTCTTCAGGAACACGCACAGCGGTGGAATTTCACGGGACCAGAACCGTGTTCGGATGGGTCAAGCAGCAGAACCGTTTCCAGGGTTTCCTGGACCCGGCTGGTCTCTCTCCATTTCTGCTTTCCATTCCCACCGTGTCCCGTTGCCATGGATACGCAGTGAAATGAGGCCCCCTAATTAACCACAGAGCGCTCAGTCTCACCCTGTGACATCACAGATCTGATGACTCACTCCAAGAGGTGTTTCTGGTTGCCGTGGTAACCTCCCCTGTCCTGTCTGTGTGTTTTAGGGTGGTTCAGGCCCACCACCTCCCACAGTACCTGCTGCCATGGCTCAGGTAAAACAAGGCCCAGTTTCATCTCTCTGTCAGCTATGGAGGGAAATTAATGTAAATAATTCTGGTTATTTAGTTAGAAAATACTAAATGTTCAGCTTTCATTTATAAATGTCACAGTTTCAAGCTAAATACATAATTGGCAAGCTAAATATTAAGCTCCAAGCTAGTTTTTTTAGCAAGCCAATTAGCTTGAAACTAAATATTTAGTTAGCTTTAACTTGAACCTAAATGTTAAGTTAGCAAGCTAATTTGCTTCCAACTAAATATATAGTTAGTTGTTGCTCCAAATTAAGTGTTAAGCTAAATATTTAGCTCCAAACTAAATACGTAGATAGCAAGCTAATTAGCATCAAATGAAATATTGAATTACAAAGCTAATGAGCTTCAAGCTATGTTTAGTTAGCAAGCTAAATGTTAAGCTCCACAATTTTTTTGTTAGCAAGATAATTAGCTTTAAAGTACTGTAAATATTTAGTTAGCTTTAGCTTTAAAATAAACATTTAGTTTCAAGCTAGTTAGACTGAAATTCAATATTTAGCCAGCATGCTGATTAGCTTGAAGCTAAATATTTTTAAAAAATACTTAAATAATAACTATAATAAAGCCAGAGTTGTTGAAGGTACCATCTGCAGATCTGTCTGCTTTATTATGGACTCATAAAAGAAGAAATTAACTGTTCATCCCTGAACATTAACAGTTTCACAGCACCAAACAGATCTGCAACCTGGACAGAAGAAGTTCTGGAAAGTCTTTGTAGAACCGTGCTGACTTTGTCTGAAACACCTCATGGATCTGATGAAGGTAACGCTGTTTCTCTTGAATGTAGACTGTCAAAATCTCCTGTCAACGTGGAAAATATGAGGCGTTCCCAATGTCTGCAGGTCTACCGACGTTCATGGTGACCTTCGACGATGAAAGACCATTGACCTCTGACCCTCATGGTCCATAATTTGACATCTAAACCTACTCCAGTGTTGAACTTCTGAACAAGTCTTTAGCAAACCGTCTTCCAGTTTACCTCAGGAGACTTTTTCACCTTGTCCTTTTACCACAAGACTAAAGACATTCAATAGGTTCTACAAAACATCCTTCAGAGGCAGATAAAGACTGAAAGATCCAAAGGACCAGCAGATGTTCAATGTTTACAAAGACTTCCTGGTTCAGATTGGACCACTGCCGTCCACTAAGACTGCAGAGTTCTCCGTCTCTGAGGCCTGTGAGGTGTCGATGAGCCTGGCCAGGCCAGTTCTAGAGGAGTACCTGAAGATGAAGGCCTTCATCAGGTCATCCCTGTAGCTTCTGTGCCAGAGGTTGTAGAGGATGGGGTTGACGCAGCAGTGCACCAAGGAGAAGCACTGCGTCAGGTGCAATGCCACGTCCAGGAAGCTCTCCAGCCGGCAGGTGAAGGGCAGGACGTTCATCAGCGTCAGAGAGTCCAGCAACAGGACAGCATGGAACGGCAGCCAACACACCAGAAACACCAGGATGTAGGAGAGGACGATCCGCCGGCTGATCCTGCGCTCCGGGTCCGAGCTGGGAGGGATGGCGGCTACCAGGAGCAGGTAGAAGATGGCGATGATGGGGAAGGGGACGGCGAAGCCGAGCACGAAGAAGCTGAGCTGGACTCCCACCATCCAGTCCCTGGGGTTCTCAGGCGGGTACACAGGTCGGCACACAGCGCCGTCGCGTTGGGGGGACCTTACAGCCTGCAGGAAGTAGGTGTCAGGAATGGATGCCGCCAACGCCAGCAGCCAGAGCGATGCGCAGATAAGCCGCCGCAGCGTCTTCCTCCTCCAGCTGAGGGCGCCAGAGAGCAGAGTGGCAGACAGGTAGCTGTCGATGCTCATACAGGCGAGGAAGAAGATGCTGCTGAACAGGTTGAGGCTGAACACCAGATGGGTGACCTTACAGATGACCTCGCCAAATGGCCAGAGTCCACCCTGCAGCAGAGACGTGACCCAGACGGGCAGGGTCAGAACCACGCCCAGGTCCGCCACCGCCAGGTTCACCACGTACAGGTGGGACCCACACCGGGCCCGGTCGGGCCGCAGGTTCACCCAGAACACCAGGACGTTGGAGGCCACGCCCAACAGGAAGATGAAGATGTAGAGGATGGAGAGGCAGAGGAGGAGCGCGGAGTGGCTGACGGCACCTGAACACATCATGGCCTCCACCCGAGACAGGTTGGAGGTCAGGTTCAGCTCCTCCCACAGGTCCACCAGCTCAGAGAGGTCACTGCTGCTCAGGCTCATGGCGGGCTGGGTCCAGCTGCAAGACACAGGGAGGCCCGTCAGAACCAGAACCAGAACCAGAGCCTGGACCAGGACCTGGACCTGGACCTGGAGCAGTACCAGGACCAGGATCAGAACCTGGACCAGAACCTGGACCTGGACCAGAACCAGGACCAGGACCAGGACCTGGAGCAGTACCAGGACCAGGATCAGAACCTGGACCTGGACCTGGACCTGGACCAGAACCAGGACCAGGACCAGTCCAGGACCTGGACCTGGGCCGTAGCTTAATCCTGAACCAGAGACAGGTTCAGGTTCTGGTTCTGGTTCTGGTTCACTCACTTGGACTGGTTGCTGTGGCTCATCTAGACTCGACTGGGTCTCAGTTAGAACCAGATCCAGAACCGTGGACTCAGGTTCTACTCTAGATAATCACGTCCCGTCTCTGCTTCAGAGAAATATTTCCAAACTAATCCAGTCTGGATGATTGTCATGCTCTCCCCCTGTGTTGACCCTGACCCGGTTCTGGGTTGTTCAGAACCCTGCTACCAGGTTAAGGTTCTGGTTCTGGCTTCGTTTTGGATCAGTGACGGAGATCAGGTTACCATGGAAACAGACAGGTGATAAAACAGTAATAAAGCGGTCATAAATCAGCGCGTATCAATGATGTCCCTCTGTGTCGGCCCGCGGGCCTCATGTTGAGCCCCTCAGACTGTCCAACGGCTGACCTCAGGATGAGAAGGATGAAGAACAAAAGCTGAGTGTGATGAAGGTCCAAACCCAGCAGGATGCCTCAGGCTGAAGGTCAGGACCTTTACAATAAAAGCTTTATTATAGCCAATTAGGGCTGAAAGGAGCCGCAGGAATCAGAGGAGAAGAAGAAGAAAAGCCCTGATGGTGGCCCAGGTCAAAGGTCAAAATCATCTAAACAGACTGGTTCTGTTTCCCCTGGTTCTGGTTCAGCTGGTTCTGTCCTGCTGTCTCAGCAGGGTCCAATTCAAAGTTCTGGTGAGGATTAAAAGTCCGGGTCAGAACCAGCATCCTTCTTCTATGGACCTTAATGGACCGGGATCTGCAGAGGTCCAGATGGTACCAGCAGTCTGAAGAAGCTGGGTCGGGACAACTGGACCTCCAGAACCGGATCAGCTGGTCCCTGAACGCACCACCATAAAGCAGCAGTCAGGGGCTCTTAATGCCCTTTCATTTAGTCACAGACAGAACCAGTCTCCATTGAGACCTCGGTCCATTTCAGATTCTCTGGACCGTCTCTACCTCTTCAGGTCCGGGAAACCGAAAATTTAATCTGCTGAACATCAAACCGAACCTCAGTTTTAATTCGGCTCAGATGTTCCGACCCCAGACAGTACCATGCAGCATCTGTGGGTCTGATCAGAACCGCACAGCTCCTTCAGAATTTCTCAGCAGACTTGCAGGTGTTGCCCTGCAGCAGGTGGCGGCTCGGTTCCGATCCGGCCGAGCGAAGTTAATAACAGCGCAGTTTGCGTCAGTTGCAGCGGAGGTTTTGTTGGATACTTACAGCTCAGACAGTAGGGTTCGGCTCGGTCCAGAGAGGGTCCGACAGAGTCCAGAGGCGGCTGCAGAGTGAGGAGTCCCGGTGGGCTCTCAGCTTTAGAGGAAGAACCTCCCACAGGCTTCGGGAAGGGAGAGAGAGAGATGGTTCCGCTGCGGGACGAAGAAGAGGAACACCCGCACCCGCAAAAAAAAGAAAGAAAGAAAGAAAAAGAGGAAGAAATACTGCAGAAAATGACAGAATAATAGTAGTAGGAATAATAATATTTTATAAATATCCTTTGTAAATGTCACTTTCTCTGTGTGTTTTAAAATATTTTGCATAATTTATGTGTTACATGTACTATTAGAATAATAACATGTGTTTAATGGCTAAAAACAAATAAAAATGTTAATACAGACCGATCACTTTTTAAAATATTAAATAAAACAGTGAGTTAATGTCTCTATGGAAACAAAAATAACGGAAAAACCTAATAATAATATCACAAAATATGTTATTTCTTAATTCGCTTATCTATTCTTTGTTCTGTTTTTATTTTTATTCTTTCCCATTTCTACGCAAAATATCTCCGTTTCTGAGAAAATTTAAACATTAATAAAAATCACCCTCTCGTGGTCCACTGTTTTACCATAAATGTATCCGTTTTAATTTGTACTATTTTAATTTTTTTTATTTTTGTTGTTTGTTCTTTTATCTAATTGGTTGTTATTGTATAGCTCATCTCTGTTTGTTTTGGATGCATTAATTGGTGAATTAATTT